CAGGAAGGGGCGAGTTCTTGGCGGTCGATGTGCGGGGGTAGTCGCTCCGCGTTGTTTCGCAACCACTGCCTGCACAGGGCAACGGCGAGGGATGCGTTGTTCTTCTGAAACTCGCCGAGGAGGCCTAGGACACGAAAGGGTTGACGTGCGTGAGAATGAGGTGGCGATCGATTGGCCATTGTTGGTGATGCTATGCTTACCGAGCGTGCAGTGCTTGCCCCACGCTTCGATGGGAGGAACTACACTGAGATCTACCTGGCCCACACAAAATACATTGTAAGCCTTGTGTGGTGGTAGGCATTGCGCGTGCACTCAGCTGTCTGATGGCAAACCTTCTTGATTGCGGCCTGTTTGACGAGACTTTGCATCGCTTCGTCGGTCTGGGGCACAGTGTAGGCAGACACTCCAGTCTGGACGTTGGCGCATTAACGACAGAGATCGTGAGCGTTTGATACAGTGCAGGCTTGTAGGGAACGCACCTTAAATATCCCGGCCTTTTCGTAGGCGATCTCGGTGAGGGTGTCACCCAACACCTTTTGATGGTCGTACCCGAGCGAAGAGATTCCACACGCGTCAGGGTGCACCACATTCGTGGCATCCGTGCGCCCGCCAACACCCACCTCCACCAACGCTACATCCACCTGAAAGAGAGTGGGATTGTTGGCCCATTGATCAACATTGTAGGTAGCTTGAGGAGCAGCATATCACTCTCCCGCTATGGTATTGGTACGCACCTCTTCCCTGATGAACACGTTTAGGGACATGAGCGTCAAGAAGCGGAAGTATGCTGGCATCTCTGGCGTTTCATTGCCCTGCGCGATCTCAGCCGTCAGGCCAGCCACGCACGTGCCAAGCGCGCGTCGTGCGTACCTGAGTAGTGGCGTGGAGCCTGTCCCACGTGTCCCAGAAGTACCTGGCAAACACGTCCCGCTCCAGAGGCTTCCCATCAAGTCTGATTCTTTCTCTGGGCGTGTTCGTCACCGTGTAAGCAGCAGCAGCACTTCATATGGACAGCATGAGGTTGTGATCATACCGAACGTCGACGAGGTGAGGAGAGGTGAAGAGGCCCGTACGAAGGCCGTAGCCACGCCGCAGAATGCTCTCGGCAAAGGCGCACGTGGAACCCTTGCCCTTGGTGCCCGCTACATGCAAGCACGACAGTCGATCCACCTTGGGCCGTTTGAATATCGTGTTAATTTAAAATTATTTTTAGAAAATATAAATATAAAAAGCAAGTGGAGAACGCACGTCCAGCTCCAAGCGTCGGAGGAGAGTCAGCATTTCGTGGCGCAGGTCAACTTCTCTGTTGGTGCGTCGCTCCCGTGCCCAGGCCTCCATGGCCTGCGCATTCGACACGAGTGAACCCAGTGCCGTTACCGCGCCCTGTGCCCGCACCTGGTAAGCCCCACCACCAGTATACCATTTCCTGGGCAGGGGGGTGTACATCGAAGCTGCGGTCAGTGAGCAGCTGCCGGTACCCACGGTGCCCGAAACGAAAGGCATCATAAAGATGAAGAGCTGGAGAGGCAGCCTGGCGTGGGCGCCCCCACCCGAGACAAGACCCGAGACAAGGCCGCATACTGTCGGAAAAGGAAACAAAAAGAAACTTATTTTCTTATTTCAGGTAATGAAATTTCCAGTTTTAAAGCACTGGCCCAAAATTTGCCAGGTCAGGTTCCTTCTCCTCCTTCTGCAGGAGTAGGTTACGATCGGCGACTGCGGTCAGGTCTTAGGACAATCAGCTCGACGGGGGAAGATCCTGCGTGGCTTGCGATGGACGAGCCAGAACTTCCTCTGTTCGAGGGATTTCCCACTACGCAGCCTGGCCTGGGCGAAGCCTGTTCGCTTGTTGGTCCGCTCGAGCAGGTGGTACCAGAGACAACTTACCATGCCCACCGACAACTCAGAGACGGGTTGTGCGCCTGGAGGAACTGGATCTTTGTGAACCAGAAATTCTCCATCCTCCGTTTTGACCCACGCTCCAGCCAGGTACACACAGTAGTGGTGGTGGTAGTGGGACGTGCAGTAGTGGTGGTAGTGGGACGTGCAGCACGTCCCACTACCAC